ACACGTACGCGTACACGCACGCACGCGCGCGCGCGCACACGCACGCGCACACGCGCACACACGCACACGCGCACGCGCGCGCGTACGCGCACGCGCACGCACGCACGCGCGCACGCACGCACTCCCACGCGAGCACGCACGCACGCAAGCAGGCGCGCAACACGCACACGCACGCGCACGCGCACACACGCACGCGCACGCGCACGCACGCGCGCACGCGGGCAAGCGCGCAAGCGCCAACGCGCGCGCGCACGCGCGCAAGCGCGCACACGCGCACGCGCACACGCGCGCACGCGCGCGCGCGCACGCGCGAACACGCGCACGCGCGCACACGCGCGCACGCACGCGCACACACGCGCGCGCACACGCACGCACGCACGCACACACGCACACACGCACACACGCACACACGCGCACGCGCACACAGGCACACACGCCACGCACAACGCACACACCGCCACCAGCAAGCACACACGCACACACGCAGACGCGCACACACGCACACCACGCACGCACGCACACGCACACAGCACACACGCACACACCACACAAGCACACACGCACGCACGCACACACGCACACACACACACGCACACACGCAAACGCGCACACACACGCACAAGCGCACACACGCACGCGCACACGCGCTCGCGCCACACGCACACACGCGCCACAGCACACGCACACACACGCACGCACACCAAACGCACACACACACACGCGCACACTTACGCACGCACACGCGAACGCACACGCGCACGAACGCACGCAAACACACGCACGCACAACACGCTCACGCACACCACGCACACGCCACCGCACGCCAACGCACGCCACATCACGGCACGCGGGACGCGCACACGCACGCACGCACACGCCACGCACGCACAGCACACACGACCCGCACACACACGCAAACACACACACACGCCACACACGCACACGCGCACACACGCACCACGCACGCACACACACGCACGCGCACACACACACGCGCGCACGCACATGCACACCCGCACGCGCACGCACACACACGCACACACACACGCACACACACGCGCGCACACACGCACACACACGCACGCGCGCACGCGCACACACGCACACACACGCGCGCGCACACACACGCACACACACACACACGCACACACACATACACACACACAACAACAATAACAAAAACAACGACAACAACCACAACGCACCCACGCCCACACCCACCCCCACGCCCACGCCCACACCGCAACCCACACCAAAGCCCGCACCCACCACCCTCCACGCACGCGCGCGCGCACGCACGCACGCACAAGCACGCGCGCCGGCTAAACTCTCGCGAAAAGCAACGGTACGCCGTGCGCACGCACGCACGCACAATCACGCACGCACCCACGCCCACACCCACACCCACCCACACCCACACCCACACGCACCCACACGCGCACACGCACGCACGCACGCGCACACGCACACGCACACGCACACGCACACGCACGCGCACACGCGCACGCACACGCGCACCCACGCCCACGCGCACGCGCACACGCACACGCACACGCACACGCACGCGCACACGCACACGGACGCGCACGCGCACGAGCACACGCACACTCACGCGCACACGCACACGCACGTGCACGCGCACACGAACACGCACACATGCACACGCACACGCACGCGCATGCGCACACGCACACGCGCACACGCGCACACGTGCGCACGCACACACGCACACACGCGCACGCGCGCACGCGCACGCGCGCACGCGCGCACGCGCACACGCGCACACGCGCAAACGCGCACGCGCGCACGCGCGCACACGCGCACACGCGCACGCGCGCACACGTGCGCACGCACACACGCACACACGCGCACGCGCGCACGCGCACACGCGCACGCGCGCACGCGCACACGCGCACACGCGCAAACGCGCACGCGCGCACGCGCGCACACGCGCACACGCGCACGCGCGCACACGCGCACACGCGCACACGCGCACGCGCGCACGCGCGCACGCGCGCACACGCGCACACGCACGCGCGCACACACGCACACGCGCACGCACGCGCACACGCGCACACGCGCACACGCGCACACGCGCACACGCGCACGCGCGCACACGCGCACGCGCGCACGCGCGCTCACGCGCGCGCACGCGCACACGCGCACACGCGCACGCGCGCGCGCACACTCGCGCACGCGTGCGCGTGTGCGGCGGTGTGCGCGTGCGCCGGCGTGAGCGCGCGTGGCGCGCGTGCGCGTGTGCGCGCGTGCGCACGCGCGCTCACGCGGCGCACGCGCACACGCGCACACGCGCACGCGCGCGCCACACTCGCGCACGGCGCACGCACGCACGCACACGCACGCACACGCGCGCACGCGCACGCACGCGCATGCACACGTATGCACGCGCACGCACGCACACGCACGCACACGCACGCACGCGCACGCACACGCACGCACACGCACGCACACCCACGCACACGCACGCGCACGCACGCGC